CTTTTGTTAGTCTTAAAGGTGCCACAGGACCCTCTGTTGCTTTTTACAGATTCAGACTAACATGGCTACCCCTCTGATACTTGACACTGGGGAAAGTGTAAGACGTGCTCCTTGCATTAGTGACTGCTGCAGGACCCCAACGGTAAGCCCCCTCCCCACTTTTTTAAAGTCTTTGCATAAGTGGAGAGGATTTCTCCCCAAATAATTCCTGTACAGTATTACTAGATATCAATACTTAATGCAGTAAGTATCAAATGATACTACACCTCTACCCCGATATAACGCTGTCCTTGGGAGCCAAAAAAATCTTACCACGTTATAGGTGAAATCGCATTATATCGAACTTGCTTTGATCCACCGGAGTGCACAGCCCCCCCCCTCCTCCCCCCCGGAGCGCTGCTTTACTGCATTATATCCAAATTCATGTTATATCGGGTCACGTTATATCGGGGTAGAGGTGTATTATCTCCAAACAAGATGTATTTTTCCCCCTTTTTCTTTTTATAAATACTTAAATTTGGTAATAAATATTTCTAGTGATAAAGTTATCTACCTTTGAATGTTCTTAAATTAGGAACAGTATCTATTCATTTCAATTCCAGTCATGAAAACTGACTACCCACTAGGTCTTTGGTGAAGCAGACTGGTAGCATCAGCAGGAAACTAACAACTAATCCACCTACCATAGGTGTACGTCTAGGCCCTGATCCTGCATTCACCCCCACACAGTTGGACCCCTGTCCAACTGGGGCTCTGCATCGGCACAGGGGTAGACCCTCCTGACTCGGATTGCAGGATTGGGGCCTTAGGTTTAAATTCTGGCAGAGCATTGCACATAGGAACCCCCCATGAAATTCATTCACCACAGGGGAAGTGCAGGGCAGATCCTATCCTTGCTAGAGCCCTGGTAGAGGCTGCTTGACAAGCCTTGCCTACCTGCAGATGCAGAGAGGTGCTCCTGACTGCGACACTGAATCATGGGGCATGGCTCACATATTTTTGCAGATATGCCCCCTTATCCAGCAGTGGCACCTAGGCGTGCACACACACACATAGCCCTACATAGTTTAGCCACACTTCTAGCTGTTGCTATGCAAAGGATGGGCGCCCAATAATGATGCCTTTTGCAAGCATGTATTGTGTGGCCTTTTGGGAGGCACATATTTCTTAGACTTGAATTTGTCTCTGATAGTCTGCCTTCTAAAAATCTTCACAACCATTTGTTTGGGGGGGAAACAGATACAAAAAATTCTAGGTCATTTTGAATTTTCCAGCTCCAGGATATTCAAAAGTCTTAATCCATGTGGTAAATTAATGTCTTGCAAAATTTCAGGTGATTTTTGGTTACTATTTTTGTATTAATTTAGGAAAACACTTGTATAACAAATCTCAATGTACAGCCAATGCCTAAAATAAAATGTCTCTCCCTCTCTCTTGCGCTCTCTGCTTCCTGTGCTCCCAAACTGCTGCAGAATCATATTCTGTCCCCTAATTAAGAAACTGATTTATCTGGCCAAATCTTAAATCTGTGCACTAGGTTCTCCATGAGGACCAGGTAGAGAAGGGATCTTCCCACAAGGCTGCACAGTAGAATTACTGAGTTCTGGTGGCCTTAGTGGATCTCTCTCTCTCACACACACACACTTTTCCTCCATTGGCCTCTTCATGCTATAAGTAGGGCCCTACCAAATTAACGGCCATGAAAAACACGTCACAGACCATGAAATCTAGTCTCCCCCCATGAAATCTGGTCTTTTCTGTACTTTTACCCTATATTATACAGATTTCATGGGGGGGGAGACTAGTGTTTCTCAAGTTGGGGGGTTCTGATCAAACGGGAGTTGCCCCCTGGTCACAAGGTTAATTTAGGGGGGTTGTGGTATTGCCACCCTTACTTCTGAGCTGCCTTCAGAGCTGGGCTCCCGACCAGCAGCTGCTGCTCTCCAGCTGCCCAGCTCTGAAGGCAGCGCTGTCGCCAGCAGCAGCACAGAAGTAAGGGTAGCAGTACCTCAACCCCCGTACAAAACCTTGTGACCCCCCTGCAACTCCTTTTTGGGTCAGGACCTCTACAATCACAACACCATGAAATTTCAGATTTAAATAGCTGAAAACATGAAATTTATTATTTTTTAAATCCTATGACTGGGAAATTGACCAAAATGGACCATGAATTTCGGGCCCTACCTATAAGAGGCCCTCATAGAACATAGCCCAACAGCAGCACTGGGACATTCACTATCTACACGGAGTCCCCATAACTCGGTACAATGGAACAAAGACAACTCCACAGCAGGCAGGTCCCTCCATGTTCATAGGATTAGTCCTTTAAATATAAACAATCGTATTATTCCTTTGCCTTAGCCACTTCCCGCAGCAGAATTCCAGCCCAATCCCAATTAATCAATTATTTAAAATAAAAATCTGGAGAAAGTTGCAATTTGTTTGAGTGGCTCAAAATGCAGCGTTATCTTGATGGCCTGAACAATGGTACCACCCTTATTGCCAAAAGGACTGCTCTTAAAATCTTCCTTACCAACATCCCCAGGCCTGAGATACACATTCCTCCTGACGTTTGATAACACTGAGGACATTGAGGCAGATCCCTGTCCATTCACAGCTGTGAATTCTTCCTGTGCATGTCTTTCTTCCCTCTCTCACACACACAGGCCAGTCATTGATTCGTAAAGCATTGTCATTTAACGTATGTGGCCAGATTTTCAGATGGCTCAGCTCCCATTTACACACCTAGATGAAATGACCAGGGGAGCCGTTGAGTGCTGAGTTCTTTTTCAAATCTGCCCAGTAATTACCACCTTTATTCACCTTCCCTCCTTTTCCTGCTCAGAGACTCCCACCATCACTGGAAAGCCAGAAGCCAGTTTTCCTCAGTGCTTTCCCTAAGCTGATTATTATTCCTTTAGGTCCATTTGGACTGACTGCTTCAGAACTGAAGTAAACAATTACACTGAGTGAAAAGTGTGTTAGCAGCAGTTGCTCTGACACACCTGGGTGCAGCAATCAGCTGAAAAAAATGTCTACTCAAAAGAGCAAGTGAGCCGGACACAAGCCTAAGACACAATGAGAAGCAGCAAGTCTGGGAGCTGCAGAGGGTTTGACTGCCAGAGTTTTGCTCTTGGACACTTGAATTTAAATGGAGATTGTGAGTATGGAAGTCAAATGTCAAATTCAGAAGTAGATTGATCAACTTAGTTACCGTTGCTGCTCTAGTCCATTTCAATCATTCTTTATCAAATTATCTTAAAATCTAGATTTTCATGCCTGGATGGCAGAAATTCTGGTGGTAACAAAAAACCCCATAGATTTTCTGATTGCTAATCTAATGAAAGAGAGGCTACATCGTCTTTCAGGAACTCAAGGAACAAAATTTGAGTACAGTGCTAATGAGTATCTCCCCTCAACGTTACCGAGAGCTGTGTGACTAATTCCCCATGCATGTAACTGACT